CCTCAATAAAAGGGTGTTTTGTCCAGAGAATGAATCAAAGGTTCAGATCTGCTACAATGCTTTTCTTCCTCTGATCATTCTCCCACTGAGTTCTACAGAAGAGCAACCTTGCAAAGAGGTGGTTGTTTCCCCTACAAAGACCTATGTCTGGGCCCAGACTCCACAAAAATTATCACAGCAACCTAAAAGGCCCGTCTCTCGGCAGGCATAAAGGTCGTGACATTCCAGCATCAGTCACTACATCCCTACCAGCTGTTTAACTACAGATAAGTTAAGATCAAGTGGGAGCAACCACGATGGGTTGGGTAACTAACCAATCAGAGAAGTAAGGGTCATGAAACATGTTTTCAAGGGTTAGTCCTAGCTGTTTTCTCTTTACTAAGTACAATGTCATCCCAGTTTCAAATATCAACACCCTGCCATTCCGATCAATGAGGTGAGGAGCTTTGCTAAGTAACTGAATCTGGGCTATATTCCGCCCCTGATAGGCCCAACAGAGATTACACAACACCTCTGCGTGAAAACAGGAGGACTAGCTATTTTAGCACTGGCCAGGTTAAACAGTGAAGAGGCCAAATGCCATCAGCCCGGGCACGCCTCTGTATTTATGTGCATCTCGCCATTTTTCCAGGCTGTGAACTCTCTAAGCACATGCACTGTGACCCTCTCTCTCTCCAGCTCCTAGCAGAGCCCAACCTAGTGCAGCAGAACTCAACACACCCTGGTCTGTGACCACACAGAACTCACTTTGTGCCTTAAGGCAAGTCATGACCTCTGTTTTTACAATGAAACATTAAGGAGTCTGTGGGGCTTTGTGACTTCTGAGGTCATTTTCTAGTTCTTAGAATCTCTGCAAAAGTGATCGTGCACAGGCTGGCTTCTGGCTCCTGTGCTTGTACTGGTATTTATAATAGCAATGATGACAGAGGTTAAGAAGCGAGAACATCTCAGCCATCGATCATGCTATTCCTGTGCTTTCCTTGTATAACCCCATCAGTCCTATAAGGCAGAATCTCTTATTACTCCTATTTGATGCAGTGAAGATCAGTAATTTGATCAAAGGCACACCGAGCATGGTATGTCCTGGTTCCAGAATCTGGCTCCTAACTATGTGGCTATATCTCACTAACAACCTCCTTTCTGAGTCTCCATTAAGGCTGCCAGCCCTCCAGCTGGTCTGTCTACATCTTCCTTGGCTCTCCATGGGCTTCCTTCCTACATGCCTGACAAATGCTTTAATTTCCTACCCCAGGACCAGAGCTGGCCCTGCCTCTACCTGCTCCAACCAGAGGCAGAGCTTGTCCCAGGATACAGCAGGCCCTTTGTTCTGAGATTCTGTAGCCCCTGTTGGGAGTGAGTGGCTAGAAAAGCAGGAAAGGGCAGTCATCTGGGAAGCAGCTTGGTAGGTGAAGGGGAAAGAAGGCCGAAAGGGCTGATCTGAGGAGGAATTCCAAGCTCCTCCCTCCAGAAAGAAGAGCGCCTCTGCATCATCCACTCTGGCTATAGTGTGGGACCCTGGGGTAGGCTTCCTTGCCTAGGTTATACTCAGGAGGACAAGAGCAGAAAAAGCCTTGGACTTACCTGCAGAATGCGTTTGAGTAGGTAGATTTTGTTTCATTGAAGCAACTCTGCCTATTAAAATGCTATTTTCAACTGCAGGGCCTGAAATCCTCTTGATTTAAAATCTTCACTGCTTGGGGAATAAACTTTTGGTTTTCCAATAATGGAAGTCTTAGAGACTAACTGTTGTTTTCATTCTTTTCTCTCACAACACAGACCACCTAGTGATTCCAAAATGTGTGGGGATTTCTCCCCGTCAGCAAGCTAGCGAGGAGATCTGTAACACCAGTTGGGCATCCTCTAAACCAATTCAGTCCTGACTCTACCTGGAGGTAGTGTCAGCTCCCACAGGTTGAGGGCTCAGTCTCCAAAACTGCCCCTCTCCCTTTTTCAGATACCACTCGCAAGACCAGGCCTCTGGAACTTCTGATAAACTAGCTGTGAACTGGGGCTCCCACAATCCCCTTTCCTTTCATATAGAAAGGGGTACGGAGCTTTTCTGCCATGCTCAAATACCTGGAAGCTTTCCAAACCCTGTCACTCAACGTTTTTATGGAGATTTCATTGTACGAGTATGAGATGCTAATAAACTGAGCAGAGGAGCCCAGGAGGGCCTATCTATTCAAATTTTGGCCACTCTGCAGCATTCCTTCCCCCTAGGTATGAGGCGAGATGCGTCTAGAATAAGGGTCTTAAAGGTGGGGGCCCATCTTGGGGTAGAGAAGGTATTCTAAAGCTACTTCAGGAGCCAAGGACAAAAGAAGCCAAGAATCATGGGTGAAAATATATAAATGCTTTTCATCCATGATTCCTAGCTCCTTATTTATGAAATATATATATATATATATATATGAAATTATAACACTTATAGAAAAATTTTGACTATTAAAATTTTTGAAATTCATCTCAACAATCATACTCTTGAATATTTAACCATTTAACCAAAAGAGTTGAAGCCTTATGTTCACACAAAACCCTGCACATAAATGTTTCTAACAGCTTTGTTTATAATTGCCAATAATTAGAAGTGATCAAGATATTCTCCAATAAGTAAATCAATAAAAAAAAAATTGTGGTATGTCCACACAATGAAATATTATTCAGCAATAAAAAGAAATGCGTGTGCTAGCTCTTTCCTTTTG